TGACTCACACAAGTATTACTAAAACACATATCATCCCCAAGTTTATTTATTTACTTAAATAACACATTCTAGGCTTGTCTATTTTAAAATATATTTCATTTGTTTAGTGTCGTTCATATATAGCAAGTCCCTCCCTCTGTAGATTTTCCTTAAATCTTTCCACAGATACCCAATATTTTAGTTCTACCTTCCTGCATTCTACATTTTCTTTGCACTTTCCTCAAGCACACATATCGCCTGGCATAAGTAACTTCTCCCTGTGTTGGCCCAGTTTCCTTAGAAAGGGCTACAAGAAATAGTGTAATCACGGAGAAGCAGGAGTGAGTAAAAGGAAAATGACATAGGATGGGAGAAAAACCTCACAGAGGAAGTTTCTGAGAGGCCAAAGTCTGTGACAAGCTGATTTCTTGGTTTCCCAGGACATACTCAGAGAGGACATTAGAAATCACTGTGAAAGGGAGGAAGGGAGACACATTTATCCACTTGTTTCTGTCTCCCATTAGTCAGAGGTCCCTCCCATGAGGACTTACTATCCCTGCACTCCTCCACCACACAAAAGGTTAACCCAAAGGAAGTCCATCTTCGTCTCACAGCTTAGTGGCAACAGCAACAACAAAAATCCAGGACATGTGGCGAGAGATGCCATCGTCCTTTGAAATCAGATCGAAACATGCTTAATTTATTCTAAAGGTACTGACAGTGCTTTCGAAAATCCTCTTTTAGAAGTCCACAAAGAGCCTGGCATGGTGGCTCACGTCTGTAATCCTAGCACAATCCTAGCACTTTGGGAGATCCAGAGGGAGGATCACTTGAGCCCAGCAGTTTGAGACCAGCAGCTGTGACCACAAGTGACAAGAGGCAGTGGTAGCAACCTGAAGTGGACACTTTAGTTAGTAATGGCAGCAGCAGCAACAATGCTCTGATTCCATGACCACAAGAGCAGCACAAGCCATTTGCCATTAGCACTGATCCAGTCCAGAGCAGGGTAGGCACATGTGGCTTTCCTGAGGAGCTAACTCCAGGGCACTACCTCTGTTGTGAGAATTCAATGAGCTCTTGGCAGTAAAGCAACTTGGGCAATACAAAAAACACATAGCAAACATTAGCTACTGTTAACATTGAACTGCATCTTATTTTCTCTAATAAAATTCAAGCATTAAGGTCTTAAATAATACTTGTTTATCTTTAAATATTTCATCTGTCCCGGCATTCTATTATTTTGACACTAGGTATGTAGTAGCAAATGCTAACTGCATTTTTACCTGGATTGAAGGTAAAAATGCTGTTTGGTGGCTTAGTTTGGTTACACAAATTAGTAAACTGCAGTCAGCACATATATATGTTTTGCTTTCCCACAAAAGCTCATCAAAAATGCCCTTGCCTCTGTATACATTGTCTCTTAATTCCAATTTCTTATTAAAAATGCTTCCTCATGTCTGACGTCTGATTGATCATTGTACTGTCAGATTCCACAAAATATTATTAGGGCTTAATATACTAAGCTTCATCCTTTGAATTGTTCCCATTAGGCAAATAAGTAACCTGGTCATTCTGTACAGTGCAGGTGTGCATGCTATATGGTCTATTCACTTTCTAAAATGGACTAATACATTCTGCATGAGCAGAAGCTTGTAGGTGACTTAGAAAGGTCACCTCCACATACATCATTACAATATTCCAGTCAAGAGTTTGCCAAACCATGATCAAAATACATAGAAGGAAAATATATTTACCCAGTGTTCTTAAGTGTTATGTTTTAGATCCTGTATATGGACATTAACTTGATAGGTGTCATAGTTGGGTTGATGTTGACCCAAAATAGCCAAGCCAGTCACCCAGTCACTAGATGCCCTGGGAAGGACTTGTCTTCAGGCAAGGCAACTTAATGCAACCAAGGCAGGTCCTTAAGCCAGTTGACAATGATCACCTCTGCTGGTCTCGGTGGCTTAACTAGTGTCTTGACCCAAACCCTCATCCCCAAGGCATCTAGTCATTATATCCTCATATACTGGAACTGTTGGCCATGTCCATCCTTGTCCATTTACAGTCATAAGTGGGCAAAGGCGTGTCTAGAAAACTCAAGTGAATCATCTCATAATTCTCCCTGTACTCATCATGTCAAAGCATCCTTCCCTCCATCTAAGGAAAAGAGTCACTTATCTCTGCCAAGACAGTGATTTATCTTCTTGCCTCTTGGTTCCTGGATATAAAAAGCCAAAGATACCAAGATGACAGTCATAACTGATTCTTCAGTGGTATTTATTGGGTCCCCTGAAGAAAGGTGCCCCTTTTAAGGACAAAGAATTTGTTATCCAGAATCCAGAGTTGAAGGGATGGGAAGCAACATGTTTGTTCCCCCAATGAATCCTTTACAGTGATGGCAACTCCTGCTTCCACTCTTAGTTCCCATGGCATTTTGGTTTCCTAGGGTTACTGTAAGAAATTATCACAAACTCAGTGGTTTAAGACAACAGAAAATTTATTTTTAACATCTCAGGAGGATAGAAGTACAAAACCAAGGTGTCGGCAGGGTTTGTTCCTTCTGGAGGCACTGAGGAATCGTCTGTTCCATGTTTCTCTCCTGGCTTCTGGTGACCGTGGGCAATCCTTGGCATTATTTAGCTTGTAGCCGTACCGCACTAATCTCTGACTCCGTCTTTTCATGGCCTTCCTCCTTGTGCATCTGTATGTATATGTGCCCGGCTCCTCTTCTTATAAGGACACCAGTCTTTGGATATGAGCTGACCTCATCTTAACTAATTGCAACTGCAAAGACCCTTCTTCCAAATAAGGTCACGTTCTGACATTTCACGTGGACATGAGTTTTGAGGTTACACAGTTCTACCACATTTGCATTTTCTCTATTGAGAACACAATGGAAACAAATTATCTGTGATTCAGTGCATATCTGTGATGTGAATGATAGGATAAAATCCTTGCTGAGTCTTGTCTCTGAGTGGTTGGTCAGCGTGTTTTCAGTACACCGCTACAAAGTATCATCAGGCAGGAAGTTTCTGGATGATGTAGTACCTAATGTGACCAGTGGACTCCATGGTCACAGGCCTATTATTGTGCCTCCTCTACTTCACAGATGATCCCATGACCTGACATCCATGACATGGGATCTCATGCTGGTAAATCAACATTCCATGAGCCCTCAGGGAAGCAACAAGGATACTGAGTTTCTGGATACCAATGTGAATTCAGACTCCATGCCCCCAAATTCTTAAAATGCCTTATATTCCCTCTTTCCTGAAGTTAGAATCACCAGAGCAAGTGACTGCAGGTCCCTTGGGGGAGCACTGGGAGCATCATTACCTTGTACAAATATCATGATGTTGTAGACACCCTCCTGGGACCCAGCCATTTCTTAGCAATGGGCCCCGGGTCTGAAAACCAACTCAGATCCAGAAACCAAGCAACGAATGGAAACTTTTTATTGGGGTAGCCACCCTCAGCCTTCATGTAATCCACCCTTAATTTTGTCTAGTGCTACAAATTCAGCAGGGTTCTTGTTGGCACTTTTGCCCCTAAGGGTGCTATGCTCACAGCCACTCTCACTTTGAGTGTCATTAGGTTCATTGTGACCTCCTGACTTTTGGCGGTTAGACACTGTCACTTGACCACTATTTTTCAGTCTTGTCACACATTGCCATCAGTAAGCTATTTCGTTTCCTACTGTCAGTCAGTATTGCCTTCCAGAGAGCTACTGCTAAACTTTTTAGGGGTGCTTGTTCCTTGTCATCAGTTCATGTCTCTGTGGCCCGGAAGTGAGGTGTTCACTAAGCTTTCCCATGTTTTCCAGCCAAACACCATCTATCCACTCCCTCCATCTTTTGAATTCCTTCCTCCCCTGTCACAGTAACGCTGGCATTTGAAGTTTGCTCTGAATGGTCCATTACATTTTTCATGCTTCTTGAAAGCCATCCTGGTAATGAGCTCACACCATTTCCCAGGATCCTGGACTGGGTGTTAAACCCTGTAACTTAAGATAGCTCCTATCCTCAATCCGAGGACCAAATGTGGGGGATGCCATCAAACTCCCCGACTTTACGTTCTCGCCCTTAAGCACTCTGAGTCCAGTCTCTAGCATAGTCACCCAGCTCTTCCCAGTACACACCAGCAGTTCCTTTGGGGCAGTCTGTTTCTTTCCACTTTAGGTCCAGCACTTGCCCGAGTTTTGTTTAACCTTAGTTACAGTTACTTAACCCTAATTTTAGCCCTGGTGATTAAATAACTTATAATGGCCAGGCAAGTCATGAAGGGGGCACAAGCTGCCTGGTAAAAGACTCTGCATTGTCATTCAGCTTGACAATGAGGTAGGGAGTGCTTGCCCTTAACAGGGAGGGGTGAGCTATGACACCAGGCTCAGGAAGTTTAGGAGTCTGGGGAGTAAAACTCTTCAGCAGCATCCATTCATGCCTCCACCACGTTAGTAGGGTCTCAGGTTTTCCCAAGCAGTGTCCTGACTTTGATACAATACACTCATTCGTCTTGGTTGACAACTGTCTTTGACTATCAATTCTTGGACCTCATCCTGCTTTTTCAGTCCTCCTGCTGCAGGAAATGCAAAGCTTTTTATATACAACCAGAGGCCTGCTGGCTTTCACACTTGGCTTTCCATTGTGTTTTTGTCCTCAGCTGTTGTTTCTATAGAACTAGAATGGCTCAACCATAGCCATCTGACTGACCCCGTTATCCTCATATCTACAATTTCCTCCATACATCGAAAATGCCAGCCAGTCAGAGAATGCTTTCGCTTGTACCACTATACCATCCCAATTCCTTGTCAATGTGAGTTTTAACACTCAGTACTTGTGCCTCTGTTCTCCACTTATCATTGATGATGGGGTCTGGGCCGCCTATCTTTGTGTATACTACACAATCTCTGCTATTTTCCATATTAGCAAACAATGAAGCAGTTTATGAAAAAAATGAAATGCTTCCAAAAATAAGATGAAAATGCATAACAAGAAAATAAATAAAGTATCAAAAGCATATATGTGAAATACTAGATTTATTCAAAGAAAGATGAAATTTCCTGGGTAAAGCATCCATAATGATACAATTTCTGATATTGTATCTATGAAAAATGGCTGGGTAGTCACCTTTGTCAACACATTTAGGCATTAATAATAGGTATCGGGACATATACCGTGAAGAAAGAGATGCATGGGTCCAAATGCTAAACATGTATCATGGCTACTTAAGAAAACATGAATATTTAATGAAAATTTAAAATATAACAACATATGACTTTCATTTTGTGGACATAAAAGGAAAAATACAGTAATTCATTTTACACATTACATTTTACAAAGCCAGACACAATGTACTTTGATAAAAAATGTAATTTAATTTCAAACATATTACCAGCCTATTGCTTTATCCTGCATTTATGTATCTAATTGGCAAAACCTACTAGATTACTGAAATCTGTAACAATCCATGATGCTTCAATTGCTTCGATCTATAAACACCTTACATTTGAAACTCATTTTCTTCTGCTGTAACCCTGATTATCAGTTCCCTAAAAACGCTATTACCCACTCCTTGGCCAAGTGGAACTAGCCTTCTGCACGAGGCTGACAGTCCTTTTGAACATTCGCACACAATGTACCAAGCACACACACTCCTGCTTCTCACACATGGCCGCCCGCGGGCAAGCAGCCCACTAGTTCTCTTGTTCCTCATAGTGAGCATAGCCACTGGCATAGGTCCTTCCTAAATTCAAATTAGTAAACAAATCTGAGGACTCAGCATCTGAATCCTTTCTGCCTTCATCCTCCTCCTCGTCATCCTCTGCTTCATACTCATCCTCCTCCTCATCGTGGTAGCTGGTATCACCATACTTGTCAGATGAAAGATTCTTCCAGTAAGCATCATACCCAGAAGCTCCATCTCCCTCTTCACCTCCAGTCTGCCTGCCAAATTTCAGAGAGCGTGCTGCAAAAGACAGACATGTACACAGCATTTCATTAGTTCCAATTCTCTACATCCTTATTTCCTCTCTAATACATAAAATTACATGAACATTATCGGCTGCTATACTCCCCAATGAAAAAAAGGTCATCTTTTCCTAACTTTCTCATGCAATGAGTCTATGAAAAATGAAAAAAATCACAATGCCATTTCATTAAATATAGAAAAAGAATTAGATTAATAAACACTCCAAAGATGCTAAAGCATGTTAAAAACTAAAACAGCTTTCATTTTTTCACTGACAAGTTTATTCTTGAATCACATAATTCACAGAACACAGGTGATTCCACATGTCCCTACGTTTTTCTTAAGACAGCTATATTTTATCACGCAGACGCACATTCTTCTACTTAGTAGTGACACCAGGTTTAGTGCAGAAAATCAGCAAAATCATCAGTCTCACCTTACTGTGCAGCTACACCTTTAAAGTACTGTCAGAGTCATCTAGAATGTTGGTTCCATTCTGATGTCTGGTAAAGAGTCAAATTTTTCTAACAAAATATGAGCTGCATGTTTGTAGCAGTCTTATTATTTCATTGAAAAGCTACATAAAAACCATAAAGCAGGCCGGGCTTGACGGTTCAGTCTGTAATCCCAGCACTTTGGGAGGCTGAGGTGAGTGGACTGCCTGAGCCCACGAGTTCGAGACCCATCTGGGCAACTTGGCAAGAACTCGTCTCTACAATAAATAAATAAAAATTAGCCAGGTGTGGTAGCGCGCGCCTGTAGTTCCAGCTACTTGGAAGGCTGCGGCGGAAGGATAGCCGGAGCCCAGCAGGTCGAGACTGCAGTGGCTGGGAGCATGCCACTGCACTCCAGTCTGGGTGACAGAGTGAGACTTCAACTCAAAAAAAAAAAAAAAACCCCATAAAGCAATTTTCTAGAGTCATGAAACATTACATAAAAAAACATAATTGCACAAACACAAATAAGAATAGCTTCAGAATGAATTTAATTTCCAAGTACTACAGATTACAGGAATATTAAGGATTTATAGCTACTCAATTATTAATAAAGAAGCACCAGTAAAAACACACCAAAAAAAATCACTATTTTTAACCTTGAATTTCAGTATCTACTGTCATTAACTAAGGCAAATACCAAATATCAAAATATAGTTTTATTACTTCAGTGAAAAATTTTATTCAAATATTTTCCTAGGCAGTAAAACCCTACTTGCTTAAGAGAACACGTTCATCTTTTCAAATATAAAGAAGAGGCAATAAAACAAACAGAGAGAAAAAAAGATAAACTTTGTGTAAGCATGAAAGCAAAATCATCCTTGGTAGTTTAAGAAAAGCTTACTTGACATGCTAAGATCCTTAGTCTCCTGAGTTTCGTGTCCACATTTAGGGCAAGGAGGTTGTTTTCCCTTTTCTTGCTTAAATACCTTGCTCCTTGTATGATCATCACAGAAGCAAGCCTGTATGGGAGAAGTAAAATAAAAATTCAAAAATATACCAAAAGATGGTACTCAATATTTCAAGGAAACTTTAAAAGGTAGCTTTGTTAATGCAGAGAAATTAAGAGTTTTGTTGGGACCAACACACTTCTCATTTCAATTTCTTAAGGGAAACGGTTTCTCTAGGACTCTTCTGAATCATGGTCTAACACAAGGCAAACTAACAGAGTATGACATATAGGTCCACTCAGTCATTCATAAATATCTGAGTATTCACAAGGTCCCTGATGAAGTAATGGTAATCGGTCTATTTACCTCACAGAGTATACAGTCTAATTAGGGACACAGACGGTGAGGAGGCAATTACAAGACACTAAGTACTGAAAGGAAAGGCCAGAGGAGGGGCATAAACCAGATATGGGACTCAAAAAGGCTTGTGGGGAGACATGAAGTCCCAGCTGAGACCTGAAGGAGGATGAGTGCAGTAGGGTGAGCAAAGATGGAAGAGGGTCCTGGGAGAGGAAATAGCACAAACAGCCAAAAGCTTGAAAGCATGCACACCGCCAATAGACCAAAAGCCATCTGGCAAAACTGGAGCAGAGTTGGGAAAGAAATAAGGGACAGGTTAGGAATATAAGAACCAGAGAAACGTTTCTGAGAGGAAGTGAACAGGCTGCAACTGTTTAGTAATCTGTGACAAACAGAAATGCTAGAGACACGGTCTAGGGACCAGAATACCAGGGAAATCCTCAATTTACCCCAATTCTTCTAAGCGAGTGCATTTTTATAGTAATTAAAGTATACTCCCATCACTTTGGTTAGCACGTTCTCCATCAGCATAAAGTTAAAAAAAGCACTGAGCCAGGAGTCCAGAGACACGTGCACTAGTGGCAACTCTACCATAAGGCAACTGGATGGCCACTGGAAAGTCACTTCGCTTTCTCAACGTCAATTCTACAATCTTGAAAATCAAAGAATTAAACTATACAATTTTAAGATGCTTCATAAATTACAGTTACAAATAATCTGATATCTAGTGGAAGAGTACAGGGATTAAAATAAAAATCTAAAAAGAAAAAATATACCTTACACCGGAGACACGAATGCTGGCCAAGTCGATTGCATGAAACACCTGTGGGACACAGACTCATCTTAAAATCCTGTCACATTTCAGTTCTTAGATTTTTCCTTTGTGTTTTATTAAATCATTTAAAGCTTGTGATGGAATTATAGCCTTACCACTCACAGCCTCCTATCTTTTGGGTTCAAATGCAATAAAACACACAAAGCTCCCATGCCCCAAATGAAATAATTCAATTGTTATATTACATATTCTATAAAAAGCTAAGAAAGGATCAAAAATGCTATATACTTTGTGATGCTTCATTAATCTTATACATAAATGCTGCAAGAAATACTTACATAAATATTGCAAGAAATATAGAGAGAGAAATAGTGTATGTGGAGTGTATGTGTTGTGTGTATATCTCAAATAGATGTCTTCGCAACTTTAAACGTATAGATGAGTATAGAAATTTGCATTTCATATGAGAACAAGAACCAAATTAAAGGTAGCAAATATCTAGGGAATTTCAGTCTTTTTCTTATGATGATAACTACTATTTAATAAGGGCTTTCAAAGTGCTGGGTACCATAATACCACTGCTTTATGTGGATTCTCATTCAGTTAACCTTTTGAGAAAGAAATTGACCATAAAATGACACTATTAACCTAGTACATAACACTAGTTCTCAACTGGAAAATACATAAAAATTATGCATGCAGGTTAAATTCAGATGTCTGGCACCCACAGACTTAAAGATAGAAATCTTTGAGGATGGGGCCTGGGAATGTGTATTTTTTTTAATAACCACCACAGGTACTTCTGATGCACACTCCTATCTAAGAATAACTGGAACCAACTAGAATCACTGGAACAAACTAAGGGTGATACCACTTACTTGAGGGCATTTAGAAATGGGAAGGGGAGGAAGAAGGGTGAGGCATGGTTGTTATAATAATGTGAAGATAAAATGACATCTGGCCCTCTGAACCAGAAATGCCAGAGTCCTACAATGCCTGGTCAAGCCTACAAAATGAAGAACTAACCCAACCAACATGCATTCATGTTGAAAATTCAGGACTATGTGTTCTGAGTTTTTTCTAGAAACAGGAATTAGTTATTAAGTTAAATTATAGTTCACAAGAGCTACATAAAAATCTTAATTTCTTTTTTATTAAGTTTAACACTTATACTAGTAGTCAGAACCTTGGATATAAAGAACATCTAATATTAAAAAAACTTACATTTAAATGTTTCTGCCTCTAAAACCTGGCAGCTGGCTTGATGCTCAAATTGATCATCTTCACAGAGAAAGTTATGACAAAAAGAGCAACTGAATATCCTGCCTCCTATTGGATTAAAAAAAAAGCAATGTAAATATAACACAATAAACTAATTAAAAAACTCATATCTACAAAACTGCTCAGAAGAGATGGCAAGTTACTCCAGAGGCACATCAAAACTGCACAGCAATTTTTGTTCTGGTGCAAACTAAAATGGAAGCTATTTAAATACTTGAAACTGAACCATTAAAAAGTGGGCTCTCACTATGCCCTGGCTAACCCATAAAACATAAAGCTCGAAGAGACCATCCACTCCCCCCAACTCCCCCTCCCTACCCACTTAGGTAAACGATACTAGCCCTGACGATTACTGCTAGTATCAATCCCTTTTCCAACTACACTGATAATCAAAACAGTAACAGTACTTAGGATCTGTCAATGGTATCCTGGAAAGAACCCTCAAAAATAGCATCCAGAATGTTGGAAAGTCAGCTTTCACTTGTAACAAGACTCATTACTTGTATCGAATGACTCACCATGGTCCCATGCACCTCGTTCACACTCAACACACTCAGCGTCAGTAAGAGGACAGGCACAGGCATGTGTGCTGAGACACTTCCTACCATGGCACACCCAAGCTTCACAGAAGTCACATATTGCACCCTGCAGCCAAGGAACAAGAAAACAGAATCACTGTCTCTTGACAGTTGCAACCATCATTTAACCATGGCAGCCATCAAAATTGCATGCATTTAGCAATTTAACAGTGCTCACTGATAGTGGGCAACTTAATTAAAAAATGGTTTTACTACTCACTCTAAGCCAATATTTAAAAGTTTTTTCTGAAAAAACCAACTTCCTAACAGCTATCCACAATATACAAAATTTAACTATAAATCAAAAGAAGTAAAGGGGAAACTATACACTTACCCTAAAACCATTAAATTAAGCCAAGGAGCTGGAAGTGTTCCTTCAAAATGAACTCTAACTCAAATGAAGTTTGAACCCCACCATTTAAGCTTTATTGTCTATAGCAATTCCTGTAACTAAATTGAATTTTTAAACACTCCAATTTCCGATTTTTAAAAATTTCTTCTTATCTGTGTAATTTATAAAATAATCACATAGCTTTTCTAGAATAACTGAGAAAATATGAAACTTTGCCAGCTTCTTTTTCTCTTAGGCAACTTATGCTTTAAACCTTTCATATATTTTTTTGTGGAAAAAAAATTAAGGTAAATATATGGAACTACATTATAAAATAAGACTCTCCAATTCTACATGAAGACAAAACAGTAAGTCTGTAAGTTGCAATAACACAAAGACAACTACAGAATAATAAGAGCTAGAAAGAAGCTTAAGGGCGTAGGACTAGAAGATCTTTCCTTTAAATGGCAAACAGGAAGAATGTTTTTTGACTGGTAAAAACGGATTTTTAGTACAGCTAGCAAATCCTCAAATATATCTCTTGGATCAACCAGATTTCTGGGCTCTGCCAAGAAACAGGTCTTCTAGGAGTGTTTAAAAGAGACAAATTGATCTTTAGAGAAAGAACATAACCAAACCAGGACAACCTAGCAAGGAGTTAATTGGGGGAATAAACACCCAAATCTTAGTCTCCTCCCATTCTCAGGGAGAAGCAGGGGAGGCAAATAGAAGATATCTAGAAAATTGCATTCCCAAGATTTATAGCTAATAACATATGATTTTACTTAAATGATTTCTATATTTAAGAATAAATCATTCACATTCATAGAATACAGTAAATTTTTTAAAAAGAATTTGGTAAATTTACATAAAAAAGCTACCAAGACAGACTGAAAGGGTTTTGCTAAAGATAATTGAAAGTCACAAGATCGTAATTCTGGCTCCTTGCTTCTATAAAATATGCATACATGAAATACATAAAGGCCTGCCTTGTGATAGATGTGTATGTTCTTGGAAGTTTACCATAAATAAAACACACTTGACACAAAAACAGTATTACATTTTTCATGGACTAAAATTTGAACCCGAACATAAAATCACACAATAGAATATAGTAAAATTGGTTAGCTCAAATTTAAAAGGAAAACATGTTTTAGTGAAAATAAAGCGAAATGCATCACACAATCCAACTGTTATTATTTAAAACAATTTTCTTAGAAAATGCTAAATGTAATGAAGAAATTATATGTCAAATATACACTTTCTTGAAATGCAAAGCTTTAGAGAAAAATTAATCTTAGGTTTTTTTGGAACTGAGTTGTTTATTTAACTAAAGGCATGAACACTGGCAAGCAGGGCTTTCAGTACATGATGCTTTTTGATGTCTGGTTAAGACACATTAGAAAGGTATCATTAAGAAATAAATTTTTGTTTAGGTCAACATGGAATTAAGTTTCTATCCTTGTGCATTTCCCAAAAAGAAAAAAGAGGCAGCCAACAACAAGTGGGTAATAAAAGAAAATCACACAAAAAACATGCCAGATAATCCAAATAATGGCAGACTGAAACAAGGAATAAGGCATTGCTATTTAGAATAACCACTGAACAGAATGACAGTGTTATCCTTAGAAACATACTGGTCTAAGAGATAATGACAAGAAGCTTACCACCATGGCAAGGCCAGTACTGTATACACCAGCATGCTTTATAACACAGTCTGAAGACTTCATCATGCACTTTGTTTTCCCTAGAAAAGAAAAAAGTTTGCATTGTTAGTCTTGCAAGTAGTACATGTAAATACTCACTAATTCCTCTTGTTAACTAACTAAAGTACTTGTGAAAATAATTTTAAAACAAATGGAATGAAATCAGTGTAGTATACTGCAAATGTAACTAAAAACAGAAAATGAATATAACTTAGGTCTTATTATCTGAGTCAGATCGTTTGGGATTAGAAATTTATTTTAAAATATGTAATTATAAACTATACAATGAAGTGATTAACATCTTTTTCTTGTTGGTACCAAAATCAGAAATCGTAAGTTATGTTTCGTAATTTAATGATCGTTTTAAGTTTAAAATCCTATGAACTTTCTGATGAACCAAAACAGATTTTAAAAAGAAATGCTTTAAAATTACTTTTATATTTTATAATTCACAATAAAATGATTATGCAATTTATCTGATTCGTTGAATTTTATACATATGTAAAAATTGACAAGCATAGCCCTCAGGTAAACATTTTTCCAAGTGAATATTGAAATAGCATCCAAGTAAGCACAATAAACAAGAATACAGTGACATGGCTAAAAATCACAACATAGTCACTAAATCTCTAATCTAGCAGCAAATTAAATTACCAACAAAAAACAGTATCAGAAAATTTGCTTATCAGATACGAGAATCAAAGATGACACACTAATCATCTATCTGAGACTCCACAAAGTGTAACACAAAAGAAACAAGATGCTCAATTTTCTGTTACCTTGATTTCCTGAGGAACAAAGTTATACGGTGGGAAATGGCCTAGAGAAACTGAAATAGCCAGCAACTACCCAACCGTTCCACGTCTAACACTAAGTGTAAGACTCGGTAAGTGGGAAATGCAACCATGTACATCGCTACAAAATTCAAGCCCAGAGATACAAAAAAATGGGAAGGGCCTGGCGAGACTTTATGTCTCATTTTTCCAAGAAACCTTTTTTTCTCACTCTATACTCATTTGCCTTTTCTAAAATAAAGTTAAAAAACTAGCAGATGAGTGTTCCATTCAAGCTAGTTTTTTATTTATCAACTGTAGAACTGAAAAGCCATGCTCTTTGAAAGCCAGAACTACATTAGAAATATTCAGGGCTGTACACCTAAACGTTACTAACCCTTCTGCAGTATTACCATATATAAATATATTTAAATGAGCATATTCCAAGAATTAGTCTATCTGAAACTATTTTTTCACATATAAAAGGGACACTTGTTCAAATAAAAGTTTAGTGGGGTATATCTGGAGTGAATAAAGTTAATCACCTTTCTTCATTGTAGGCCTTCAGAACTTTTAATATGTCAATATGGAATAGAACGCTCCCAGATGGGATTGACAGCATGAAGCATGCGGTATTTCTCAAATGTTTATTTATTTTCTAAGAAATACCTACTACTATCTCAGGTAGTCTATGGAAGACTATTGGGGAAACACCTGTTTTGCTACCATTTAATTTAATTTTGAATCATCTCAGGGTAAAAGTTTCCACCACACTTGAGAACTGGGTACATAACTTAGTAAATCCATTTCAATCACTTGGGAATATATTTGAGGAAACTCAAGAATCAGAGAGTAAGCATCAAACAGAAAAATGATCAAAAAATTAGCAATTTTATCAATTTAAATGTAGAAGAAAATTATTACTTAGGCAATATCAGCAAAAAATAAAAATTTAGATAAGTAAACAAATGGATATTGACAACACTAAGGTGGTATAATTAAAAATTCAGGATAACCAAATGTTATCAGTCTGAATTCTGATTTTTTATTGTTTAAAACAACTTATCAGTAACCTATATCTACAATGTACCCTAATTATTTTCCAGCATTACATCAAAGAGGCAAAACCAAGACCTGACAGTTTTTAGGTAGGCCAAATAACATTTTTTGTTAAATTATTAGTGGGAAGGCATAACATTACAAGCAATTATGAGCACTGTAAGTAATAATCACCACCACAACCCAACAAGTTCAAACTGATTAACTGCCAACCAAAAGTCTGATAGAAGAAAAGGCATGTGTCCTTAGTTATTAAATACTTACCACACTGTGCACAAATTGGTAACTTCTGTACAGCATTACAAAAATAGCAAAATGCTCTATTCTTCTGTCGCCTTGTCATGTGAAATAAAATTTTTAAATATAGTTAATATCAGATAAAAGGGTAGAGAGACCATATATTATAAGTAGCTAGAAAAAGGAATACATAAAACTTACCTCTGACACTTGTCACATTCCTGTAATAGACAAGAACATCACATTTATTTTTCGGCTGGCAGAAAACACATATTTACTTGCATTATAAAGAATATCCTGCTTTTTTTGTTAAAATTTAAGTGACTACTACACCAAAGCCTCCAACCCCACCCATGTATACAGGCATCTACACATCCTTAAATAACAAAGGTATACTCTGGGCATACCACTCAAGAGGAAGAAGTGGCATTATCACAAAGTAGGCTAAATACAGCAGTAGTTTACCCATTGTAAGGAATCAAATGCTACAGAATAAAGTAGGTTTTCTACAAGAAATGGCAGAAAACACAAAGTAATAAAGCTCACAGAAAAATCCAGATTCCTAAACGTGGTTCTCTCCAGTCTGGTGCCTAGCCACTTTTTAAATCTTGCGGGCCTATTTTTAGATTCAAGTCACTATTGGTCAGCCACTCTCCAAACATACCTTAAACTCTCTCTTCTCCACGCCTCTGCTTACTCTAATACTTTTCCCTGAAAAGTACCTCCTTATAATCTCTATCTCTACCAGTTGGAAGTTCTAATGATAATCCCACCTCCTCTGTTCACTGCACTCTCTCTACACACACTTAACTTTTTCACCTCTAAGTCCTAATAAATACACTGTATCTATATTAATGCAGTTACCAAAATCTAGCTATTGTTATATAAATTTAGGTATGCCAGTCATTTATCAGTTTATCTGCTCAGCATCTTTCTTCTCTGGAAAGAACGCTGACACACAGAAGGGAGCCTCACCATCACAACTGTGCTCATCAATCCTGCCCCCACCACCCTGCCCCCTCCACCTGAAAACACCCAGTACATTTTAAACCTAGGATGGGCATGGGGTCAAGACCAATCTATCAGAATTCTTTCCGTCTCTGAGGACAACATGTGATATGAGCTATGAAACCAAACAAATGGAGTAAGACAAACTGAGAAAATGTAACTAAAAACAAAAAGAAACAGCTACATCCTTCTCCCTCCAAGCCATGAGAGTTATTCCATTATCCATTCAATAAACTATTTTTCTCTGAGGCTATTTAAGTTGGATTTCTGTCATTTATAAACAAATAAGTCCTAAGTAAATAAGCTGTAAGCTTGTGGAAATACAGAGCATGCAATTCATCTATGTATCACGTACAGTGCCTAAAATGATACCTGGCACAGAGCAGATGCACAACAAACATTTGCTAAAGTCATAATACATATTTCACATGTTTGATGAAACAAAAAAAGGGGGAGAAAAGAGGAACACTGGAAACAGAAAAGGTAGAGAGGAGTGGAAATAGAGAGAAATGGGTAACTCAGAGAAACATAGCCAAAGGAAAGAGGTAGTGATGACATACTCTTGCTTTTTCACAACTTTCACCATTGAAAGCATCCCAGAAATTATCAGGACTATCCTATTCAGCACAACACAGGCAGATAGGATAATAGAACAGAAAGGCAGCAGATGTCAAGAAAAGTAGAAAGTGTAAAAAGTAAAGTAAAATTACTTAAAAATTGCTAAGAGAAAATAATGAAAACCCAACTAATAAGACAAATTGAGTTAAGGCATTAGAGAAGCTGGAAAATGTCACAGTTTCTATTACCTATTCTTGTTCAATAACCTATTTATCAACAGCAGGATGTGAGGAAATATGCCAAGTTTTATAAAAAATATAAAATCAAACAAAAATCATTGTCACTTGGTGTTAGTACAATCAGTGGACATGCTTCTCATACAGACTTCAAATTCAGTAATAAAATATATGCAAAAATACTACATTCACTAAAACTTTATTCAGATGTACTTCAAATAAAATACTATATACTTGTTTAACTATCAGTTGATATCAAAAAAAGCTGTTACCATTGAAGCATTACATGGGTGCTTAGCTAAATCTATCATGCTTCTTGATGCTCTTAGTTGTTTTTCACGTTCTCGGCGGTTCTCAGCCTTCTTCCTCGCACCAGTCTTTTTTTTAGGCATTTTCTACTATTTCTATACAAGAGAACAGAAAACATAAAATTGACTGCATTGACTATTTTAATAAGCTAAGAAAATATATAACAAAATGTCCTAATTCTCATTAAATTTTAAGCTCAACTGTCATTTTGATGGTTAAGCACATTTTAAGTATTTATGAAACATTAAGCCTATAATATTCCAAATAAAGTAGATGACTTTTAAAATAAGGCATTTCTTTGCACTACCAATTCTTAAAAATGTAAACATCAAAACAATTTATCCTAAAAACAAAGTAGTTTTCACACTAAGAAAAAAGCTTCTATGATGTTAAGTATTCTGCACCTCATTAAAGCAAATTCATTAGGCATATATCATTAACTAGGAATGATTTTAAAAGTGAGTATTTGCTCATTTTAAGGCTCTTTTTTTTTTTTTTTTTTTTTTTAATCAGGGTCTCGCTCTGTCACTCTAGTCTCACCCAGGCTGGAGTGCAGTGGCACCACTGCTCACCGTGGCCTTGACCTCCTGGGCTCAGGCATCCTTCCACCCCAGCCACCCGAGTAACTTGGACCACAGGAGCCCGCCATCACGCATGGCTAATTTTCTTCACTTTTTTGTACAGACGGGGTCTCCTTACGTTGCCTAGGCTGGTCTCTAACCTGGACTCAAGAAATCCTACGACCTCCGCCTCCCAAAGTGCTGGGATGATGGGCATGAGCCACCGCGTCCAGCCCAAAGCATTTTTTCTAGCTGTACATTCAGTCAGTCCCATGCTGCCAAGACTTGAAGTCCCACCAGTCTAATTTCTCCTATGTAGTATGTAAATATGACATTTAATTAGCTACAAAGCCAAACCACTCTCTCTGAAAATATTAAAGATATTAGTTACTCTCTTTCTTTGACAGCTGCTCTTCTCTCTTCATAAGCATCAAGTTGACGGGGTTCAAATGTCTGTTTTAGGGTCCAAACGTATGTTTAAGAGTACCTGTGTACCACACATGTCAAAGTAAAGACTTTAAAAGCAGCTTTTACCGCTCAGTTGAAAGAACTACCACATTTAGAACAACCAGGATTTTCTAAGAAGTTTTCTGAATTAAACGCCCCACCAAAAACCAGGTGGCAGGCAGTATGGTAGCGACTCAAAAGTAGGGAGTAGGAACAGACCCGGGGATGTCATAGGGGGACTTAAGGAACGTCCAAAACGCGAAGGCACCATTCCAATACGTAAAATGACAAAATCCAGAGGGCGTACGGCCCTGGCCAAAGGAGCCCGAAAGTGATCACGAGGCGACCCTTCATCACCAG